GGCCTCACGTCTACGGGCAGTGCTGGGCGGGCGCTGGCGGCGGCGGCTTCCTCTGTGTCTTAACCAAAGCCCCGCGCCAGAAGGAAGCCTTGCTCCAAATTCTAGCAAAAACTGAGGTGAGATGTGGGTGGCAACTGTTGCATCCTGTCCTCAAGCGGGGACAAGGCCCCACGAGGCCCTCCCTGCCTCCTGCCCCAACCCGTACCTCTGTTCCAGGGCTTGGGCAACTTCAGCATCCACAGCGTCCAAGTGGACACAGGCGGCTTCTCGGTGGAGGTAGGGGGAAGCGACCCTGAAGGGTGTGCTTGCCCTGGAGAGGACATGGCCGTGTGATGACCTTCAGTCCCGCCCCGTTCCTGCTGGATGCGTGGAGCCGAGAGAGCGAGCGGAGCATTCTCCTGATGGAGTCTGGGCTTCTGGACCTGCAGCCAGGACGGGTTCTGCTTTGTGCCAAGGGACAGAATCCTCTGCTTGGCTGCTGTGCACCAAGGCCTGGCAGGTCCCGACAGCCGAGCCCGGGTTGTCCCGGGGAGCAGCGGCTGGACCCGAGGCACCAAGGGGCCCGATGTGCCCGTGCTCGGGGCAGGGGGCTGCCCCAGCTGCTCTGCTCCACAGCCCTCATGTGCTCTGACCTATTCCGCTCCTCCAGCTGCCTCCAGCAAGTGCCTTAGGTTTGGCCGTGCCCACCGTGTGCTGGCAGCTGTCCCCGAGGCAGGAGGCACCATGCTGAGCCGGGCAGGCAAAGCTTCCCCTGCCGCTGGCCTCGTGGGCGGACGGCCGCATGCAGGCTCACCTTGGGCTTTGACCTGGGCTTTTACAGTTCTCGAAAGCAGAGAATAACCTCGATTCTGTTCCTAGAGCAGGGGCAAGGGGAGCATTACTGCTGCGTCCTCCTGTTCCTCCAGCAGCAGTGGCCTGTGGTGCCCCAAGGTCTGCCCTGCATGTAGAATGAAACCCTTCTCCTCCCTGCCCTTGCTCCTCTAAGAGCAGGTACCAAGAGGCTGTTTCTGCAGCACCTCCCTGCCCGTCTCATTGAATAAAAGCGTGTGTTGCTGGCACTTGTTTACTGCCCTCTGTCCTTGCCCGTGCTCTGTCTGTCACCACTCCTTCCCCCGGGACAGCAAGGGCCTGGCAGGCTGGGGCTAAGTAAGTGAAGCGGGTCAAGCGCAGCCCAACTCCTGGCACCCCCTGGCTGGAGGGGCAGGAGGCAGCGGGGGACAGCGCTGGGTGCTGCCCTGCAGGTGTCTGGATGCGTGCGGGGCCAGGGCAGCGGCTGTGACGGCGGTGGGAGGAGATGGTGGCGGCCGCACTCTCCTCTCCCAGGTTCCCTCCAGGCACACACACCCACGCAGCGGTCACTGCTACTGCTCAATGGGGCAGCGTTTATTTATGGAGGGGCTGTGCAGGCCCCAGACAGCCCAACAGGGCCCCCGTCCAGCTTCTCAGAGAGACGTCCCTGCTTCCACCGAGCACTCCCCACCCGGCTCACTCCTCTCTCTCAGCAGCCTCCCTCTTCTACAGGACTTTCCTCAGCACCACCCCAGAGAGGGGCTCGACCTGGGCTGCGTTAAGGCTGCAGGCAGCTCGTGCAGAAGCCAGTAGCACTTGTGCAGCCTCTCCAGGGAAGCATTAGGACAGCACAAGATGTGGTACAGTTCAAATATAGCTCTGCCCCCAGCCCCACAACAGCTCCAGAATTTCCTCTGCGGCCACCCAAAGGAAGGCAGAATAAAGGGAAGTCACCAGTCCCCAGCAGCTTGTCCCTCAGCCTAGCACCCACTTCAGATTTAGTGTCAGACTGCTCTCAACATGAGAGATTTCTCTGCTGCCTTAGTTCTGGTTCCCTGAACAGCTCAAGGCTCTTCCTCCCTTGCAAGAAAAGCCCTCTGCTCTGAGGGACACGGACAGGACAGCAGCCACCCCTGTGCGCGGGCGGCGCTGGGCACAGCAGGCAGCCACGGCGTTCCTGCGCTTCGGCCGTGGCGGTGCTCGCAGGCTGAGGAAAGCACAGGCCAGCTACAGGCGCAGCCGCTTGATGTCCTCACTTCGGAAGTCCATTCGGAGCGCCAGCACTTGCCGGACCTCGGCGGGGGTGAGGCGCCACGTGAGCGGGCCCGAGTTCGGGCCCCAGTAATCCAAGATCTCCGTCACCTGGAGAAGGACGAGAGCAGCAGTGGACGACTTGGCCACAGCCGCCTTCGTGCGGGAGCTCAAACCCTGCCTAAGGTGGCACTGGGCAACAGTGGGAGGGTGACAGCTGGGCAGTTTCCCGCAAATAAACCACCATCAGGCATCAGGGAAATTCCCAGAGCAGCCCCCGCTGCGGTGGGCAGGACAAAATTAGGACAAGCTCAGTAAATCCACGTGGTCTCACCCAAGCACACCAAGCGCACCTTACCCTTTCCAGGTTGAGGATCGTGGCCATCTGGGAAAGACGGGCAAACTTGTCACGGATAGTCCAGGTGGTGACTGTGGTGAGATAAGCTATGAGCGATCTCAGCTCCTTGTCGAACTGCAGACCACCAAGCTGCGGGGAACCAAGGAGGCTCAGTGAATTCTCCACACAGGCCTAGGCTGCTGCCCGACTGTGCCCACAAGTGGGTATCAGAGTGGTGGTGGGCTGGCTCTGAACAGTTAGGCCTCCTCTCATGGCAGATGACAGCGGCTCCTCTTTGCACCCCCCTCAAATGCTAGCCCTTCTCCCTGTGTGCACTAATGCAAGGCCTGCTCGCGTTGGCACATACTGCTCTGAGGGCAGTATTTGCCCTTGGCAGGTAAGGGAGGGTTCATGAGGGAAGGCCTGCAGACCGCCTGACCTACAGGGGAGAGGCCAGTGTTGTGCTTACCCTGCTGAAGGTGGATTTGAGGAGCACTTTCTCCAGTTCGATGGCTATAAGGCTGGTCATGAGACCTGTGAGGGTATCATAGATCACTGGAGACAGCCCAGCCTGAAAGCAGAAATCGGTGTCATTCTTGTCAGGCTAAAAAGCAAGCAGAGGGCCCTAGGCCTGTGCCTGTCAGACAGTCGCTTCCATGCTCAGTGAGGGAGCAGCACTGGTCTAAGACATCAGCCTCCAGAAGGCCCAGGAGGAATCAGAGGACATCGCTGTCCACCGTTCCCCCGGGCAGGGGAGAAGAGCTGGAAGATGGTGTGAGCTGCAGAGTCTGCTTCCCCTCACCTTGAACTCCGTCATCTGCTGTTCCAGATTGATGATGAACTGCTGGACCCAAGGATCATTAGCTTCGTAGTCACTGAACTCTTCCTGATGTGGAAATACAGAAAGACTTGTTCATTTGACCTACTGTAAACAGCAGCAGTTGGCCCCAAGGAGTGCCCCTAGCCCAAAGTTGTCCTAAGTTTCCCTCAGGCCCCGTAGTCCTGGCTGCACTGGGATGCAGAGCAAGTCCCAGGAGTTTATCCATCTCCTCTCTGCTGAGGACAGGGCAGGGGAGTGGGGGGGTGAGCAGGTGGTTGCTCCGCTTGCCCTGCCAGGCGGGCAGGCCAGGAGCTGGGCTAGAAGCAGGGAACGCGTGGCCTCACCTCCTCGATGTTATGAGAGACGGAGAGGAAGAGGTTGATCCAAGGCTTCACCTGGGGTTTGATGGCTGTGCTGTTCAGCTCGTTGAGACCTTCCTGAAGGGGACAGGAAGAGGACATGAGAGCCACTGAGCACGTTTCATGGCCAACCACACGACCAAGCCAGCCAGGCTCTCTTGGTGCTGCCTCACATGCTCGTTGCACAGCGCCCTGACTTGCACAGGACTAGCACAGGATCCCACCTTCTGATGCTGGATGGCTCCAAGGACGTTACTACCACCCACGAGGCCCTCGTGGTGACTTGCAGCCTGTCCGAAGGAATCCTAACTTCCCCCAGCTGCGGGAACTGCTTCCACAGCTGCTCCTGGCAGGACAGAGGTGCTTCGTGCACGTCCCATCCAGGTCAGAAAGGAAGCAAACCCCAGCCCTTCCTTTTGGGGCCAGCCAGTGGGACGCTACAACCAGGCTCAACTCGTGCCTCGCTCCTCCAGTGCGGCTTTACTCAGTAGGAGAAGCTAAAAGGAGGGCTAAAAGCTGGAACCAGAGCTAATCCCCTGAATTAATCATAACCCTAGCACACGCCACCACCCTCGAGCAGCAGGTTGTCAGCAAGGGCTGTTTTATCTGCTCCAATGCGATGGAGCTCTTGGAAAAAACCTCTCCTGCCAACCACCCCCATTTGGCTCAGCAAGATATCAAGAAAGCTCACCCAGCACGAAAGCATCCAGGTACCAACAGCGCCTGGCATTTCGTGAAAGTTTTATAACTAAAATTGGCATTTCTGAGCAGGCCCTGCTGGCAGTTGCCCTTTCCCGAGGCGAATGCAATGCATGTGTGACTCAGGCAGTGCAGGAACTGGTTGCCTAGCATCTTCATTACTTTGCAGTCAGTTTTAATACCACACTAGCACAAGGACTGGAGAATTGTACTGCTTATTCATGAGCTGCTTGGATTTGGTATTGACCGTGACCCTCAAGAGGCTTTGCTTGCAGTACCAGTCTGAAGATTAGATCGCAGTGAACTGGAAAGGAAAATAAAAAATGGCCTTGCCCCTCTGTGGCGATAATAGCAAATCTAGTTCAAAGTGATGTGTTTTGCTTGGCTTCTTTCCACTGCAGTATTAGGCCTTTCTGCTCCCTGCCTGTTGGAGGCTACTGTGACAGTCTAGAGGAAGAGGCCCTACATGCCACATGAGAGAGTGGCTTTAGCCAAAGAGCCTTCTGTTCCAACCAGGAGAGTATTTGCACTGGCAGAAAGGAGATGCGACCTGGGAGAAGAGCAGCTCCTTCTCTACGCCATCCCTCCCGCCACGTCACCTAGCAAGGCTTGGGACATCTCAACAACATGCCAGGCCACGAGGGAGAACACATTAGATGAGAATGCTATTAATACTTCTTGTCCTTGAAAGGCTGAAACTGCTACTGCTCTCTGCTGAGTGAAGACAAAAGGAACCACATTCCTTCTGGCTTTGCAGCTGCTTCCAGAGCTTTTATGCAGCCCCAGCTGGTGCAAAGGGGCTGGATCTGTTCACAGGATCCAAAGTGGATTGATCTGCTTCCTTCTGTCCCTCAGGACTCTTGGAGTAAGACACAGCCAAGGCCTCGGGCCGAAATGATTCCTGCCACCACGTCACAGCACGGCAGGAACGACACGGCACTCACCTGCAGCAGGTCACGGAATTTGTTGGACACTGCGGCCATGTCAGAGAGGCAGCTGTCAATCTTGGCCTGCGCCTGTTCACCCCCAAAACCTTGGCTGAGCAGTTTGGTGCAGTCGCTCTGCAGGGAAGAGAGGCATGAGCAGGATGCAGCAGCGGGGCGGGCTGCTGCTGTCCCCGGGCAGTGCTGGGCCCTGCCTGCCTGCCCGCACGCTCGCGGGCACGGAGCAGCACGCGGCTCCCAGCCCTGCGAAGCAGGAGCTGCTGTCTCCAGCTGCAGGGAGGAGAGCAGGGTAGGAAGCCAAAGGCCGCCAGAGAACCACAGCCTCTCAGTGATGCCCCTCATCCCTGCCAGGTCGGCTGCCTGGAGGAACCAGTCCTTCTAGCTAGACCAGTTTATACTGCTGAACGTTAGTGAGCGCTTGCTCTGGCAGCTTGGAACTGCTTTCCTAAGGCAGGAGGCCAAGGACTTCAGGAACTGGGCAGAGGAAAGTCCGGGAGGTTTATCTAAGCCCCTCAGGGAGGAAATTACAGGTTACGGTTATGAGAAAATAGCAGGAAAGAATCCAGACCGCACCTCCAAAGTCTTCTTTAGGGTCATGATGTTTTCACTGCAGACTTCAACATTGTTTAAGGTCACCTGGGAGGGAAAAAAAAAAATCAGTGGAATTTCTCTGCATCGCAGCCACAAGTCTGCACGTTTCCTCTAAGCCTTGCTCCCTCTACAGACTGAAATGCAAATCCCTAAGGGGACAGGGATGCTCCTATGTGATCAAATCACTGCAGATTCACAGTTATGTCAGGCTGAGCCACAGTAACTGACCATGTGTGTGCTGAACCCGTAGCTGCTGCAAAGCCTGGATTAGTTCTGGCCACTTCTCTTCCTCATCATTCTGCCTATGATGCTGCAGCCAAGCCCCAGTCTTGGATGACTGATGGGACAGAGGATGTACCCCCAACTTCTCTGCTTGTTTCTGTGACAGTGTCATGGAGAAAACACACTAGGAGCAGCTGGAGATGATGGATTATACACAGCATGTCCAGAGAAGCACTGGCAGGAGGAATATCTAGGCAGAGGAATATCTCTTCTTCACTGAACAGCCTGTTCTTTACCTGCCGAAGCTGAACTAAATGTCACTATAACACTGGGGTTTGTACAGAGAGGAAACGCAGCAAGCTGACAGGTGAATGAGGAATCCAGTGGGAGAACTGACATTTTAAGTGCTTTGCTTCAAGAAGTCCAGGGACCTGTAACCAGGAGTTTAATGAAATGAGTGCTCAGGCCCTCACTCTCCCTTTGCTGGTGCCTTTGGTATCTTCTCTCCTGGCACAGTGCCAGTCCCAAGGAGCTTTTTCAGCACTGGCTGCTCAGAGCAGCTTACAAGGAGGGAGAGAAGTCAGCGTGAGCCAGCCCCTCTCCAGGGCTCTCAGGGTCTCTGCCTACACGTCTGTGCAGCATCAATTAGAGCAGGGCTGGCCAAAAGGAGACAGCAGATCTGCACAGAGCTGCTGTTCCACTGAGGTCCCTTTTTGCAGCGCTCATCATGAGTGTCCTGCCAGGAGAAAGGACACGCTAGAGGTCAAAAGTAACAGCCCTTTGACCGCTCTCCCACACCCTCAGCCCTGCTCAAGCCTGCTCGGGCACACAGTGAACTGCAGTGCTGCTATCAGGAGAAAGGAACGGGAGGATCTTGGATACTCGGTAGAGGGGAGTGGAGAACCACCCTCCCCAACTCGTTGTACACCAGGACAGCCATCGAACCCACCAGAAAGGACTGCTTGGCCTCGTCGGTGCTCTCGATGCCTTTGGTGTCAAACTTGCCCTGCTGCAGGCTGCTGTGCATGATGCTCACGGCGCTGGTCACCCCTCTCTGGAAGTCCTGGAAGGTGGTGGCTGGAAAGCCCTGCTTCAGCTTGTTGTACAGGACCTCCCTACGGGGCAAGCAGAGCACACCAGGGCTTACAGCCATCATGAGGTAACAAGGACCTGTGACTTGACAAGAGCAGGGGAATTGTACCCAGGCAAAGGAAGGCTGCCAAATACCTCCTGCCAGCATCCGAAGGAGGCGAGGCTGAAATGGAAGACAAAGAAACAGCCCAGTTTTGGAGCTTTCCTCACAAAAACCTGACTGCAGTTGTATGCTGAGCTCAGTCACAGTTTTCCCACCCCACACTGCAATGAAAACCCAGGAGCAGGCCTGCTCTGCAGGCTCACCCCGCGGTACAGCGGGCACCTATTCAAGTCACAACAGAAGAGCGGCCCCAGGCAAGCTCAGAGGTGACCTAGAGAACAACTGGCAGTGACCAGGTACCATCAAACCACGGGTCACCCACCAGCACTGTGGGCTGGCTCAGTCTCGGGGGGACTTCAGGCCTCAAGATTCATAGCTCTTTTCAGTCCCTCTGTCCTACAGGTGACTACCACTGCTGACAGAGGTCTGCCTAGCTCGAGCCTGCTCCACTGCACTGAGTCTGCTTCCTACTTGCCTCTCTCAAAGGCAGAGGGCAACAAGGAAGACCGTCCGGTACCCAACACGGTTTGCGGAGCATCAGGAGGAGAGGAGTTAGAATGAACCTGGTGCCCGTTCGTTACCTGAAGTCAGACTCCAGCTCGGTGGTGGAGTGGTTGATCATGGCGCAGAGGCAGTCTATGCTGGAGCTGGACAGAGCGCGTCCGATGCACTTCTTCACGATATAGAACACGTCATCCACCATGCTGGAGGTGAGCTGGCCCTTCTCGTAGCTGTCCATGGCCACAGCCTGCAGGAAAAGCTGCCTGAGTGCTCAGAGCTGCACATGAGAAGGCGCCTGCTCAGCGCAGTGCTGCAGGACCGAGCTGAAACACTGCCAGCTCCCCTGTGCCCCCTTGTGCTGAAGGGAACCACGTGCACCACTCATCCTAGTTTTCAGTAGCCTGGGGAGGATCTTCAGAACCTCCCGCCTCTACGACTGCTCTGAAAAGTCCTACCCTTCCACAGGAAACTGCTCTTTTGAAGCCAGTAACCAAGCGTCAACTAGGAAATATGGGCCTGCACAAGTGCTGCTCCTCCTTCCAGGCAACGGTTTGGCTGCAGCCTGCACGCAGACGCCAGCTCACAGCCTATGAAGCTGCTTAGTGACAAGAGCCAGGCTAGGGACAGTCCACTGGGGTGGCGTTGCATGGCACCACTGTGGCCAGAAGATGGCAGCTGGAGGAACTGCATTTCCCCTTGCTGGCGGTGCCTTCAACCAAGGAGCCAGCCCACTTCAGAGGCTGCACAGGGAGCAGTTCCTTCTGAAACAGCTCCTGGAGCAACAGTGCAAGCCTCCAGCCGGAAGGGCAGCGTGAGGCTGGCGGAGGCT